TGGCAAATTTCTATATCAGAGTACTTACTGCAACCAAAAAAAAAAAGATAAAAAATTGCAACACCTTGATCAGCTATAAAATTCAAAAACATCAAACAGTTGCTAATTTTCGAAGTTGTAACATAAAACCATAGTTGCAATCATAAATTTTTTGCAGGAAGATAAATATGAATCATGAGAATTTGTTTAAACGGATACATCGTTATAATAACCAATATACAATCCGAAATCAATTAGAGTCGACTATATAGGTTAAAATTTAGAAATTTCAAATATCAACTTACCTAACCTCTTTGGAAAAAACTCAAAGTGGGGCAGATTTGATTTTAGATCGTCGCACATCGATCCAAAAGCAGAATGGAATGGTAATGTTCAGTTATTCACCTGGGAAAAGGACAATATCTGTGTGTAGTGGGAGTGAAGAGAATTGCAACTCATGAAAGCCAAAAAAAAAGAAGTGGTATTATATGAATCAAGTAATAATAAGTTTAGAGAAGAAGAAGAAGAAGATTTGGAGGTTTTTTCACCCAGATTTCCTTTGTGGGAAGTGGAAGATCCATAACAGAGTGTCTTTTGTGGGTCCTACTTATTAGCTTTACCGGGACCCACTTTTCTAACCGGCCGGTGACTGTCAGCTGTCTCTTCAAAATCATACAGCACGCCGGCGCTTGCTTCGATTCTTCCTAGTTTCTTCTTTCTATTCAACTTCTAATTTCAAATGATAAATTGTATGTTTGTGTAACAATGAATTTAATGATACGATATAATTAAATTTAAGGGACTAAAAGATATCACTCAACGCAAAGACAATTTGCACAAGTTCACAAAAAATCAAGGCATTTGACCTGTTTGACTTGCACAGTAAGTTTGATTTGCTCCCCCGTGAGCCAAATCACCGACGTGTGTGGGTGTTTATTATCATAAATAAATAAATGTAGTAGTTGTAAAGACATTGGTTGAGTTAAATTGTGTATTCATCCTATTCGTAGCATAGTCAACGTAGTTAGTTGGGTAAACCATTTTGTTGTTCATCACGACACCTCATCCTCATGATTCCTGAGTTTCACAAAATATAGTTTTTTTGCACTATTTTTACCATTTATTTATGTCAACTAACTACGACTTTGAGGCAGAATTGATACTACTAATTTGTTGTGATTATAAAGACACAATTTTCATCAAAGATGACCCTTTCTTTAGGGACAGTTGTTAATTAATGCTTGTTTATGCCAAAATATAATGGCAAATTTTATAATCGTATAAATTAGCCAACACAAAACCATGAAAACTAGTATTCCTCCTACCCTAATTACTTATCTATTTTTTTCTTTTATAAGTATCCTTGATTACTTATTTATTTTCACAAATTAAAAAAGGATAAATTTTTTTACTTATTATACCTTTAATTAATTAATTTGAAAAAAGATAAAACTTTTTGAAAAATTTAACGCATTTTATAACTAATTGAGGTAAAATGATACTCAATTTATCAATAATTATTTTTTAAATAGTTGTATCAGTATATATATATATATCTCAAAACACGCCATGATAAAAATGCTATGACAATATAATATAATTCATATTTAGCACCAATCAAAAGGCAATGAAGTATGATTGGTCCTATAGGTCAATGAAGACACCCAAAGAGAAGGGAATAAGGAATGAGACAGATAACAAGAACTAAGATATGCAATCTGGACAAAAATATTAGTAAACATTTTGGCTTAGATCTTGCTGCAATAAAAGGTAATCCTGGTCTAGAAATTTGGGGTTGTCACTAGTGCTATTGTGGATGATAAGGAGGCATTCCACCGGAATGCGGTAGGCCGTTCTGTCCATGCATTGGCATCATCTCATGACCCATTTGAGGAGGTCCACTTGCTGGCATAGAGTAATGGTGATTGTGCTTCTGCATTGGCATTTGTGGAGGTGCAGAACCAACAGGTGAGTTCCAGCCTGCTGCTGAATGCTGAGGTGCACCAAAACCTTGAGTGGCTGGGGCATATTGTGTAGGCCCATTGTATGGATGAACAACTGGACCTCCTACCGGAGGTGGTTGCTGCCCCATGACTGAGGGTTGAGAGTTCATCATAGGGACATTCGGGATTGTATAATCTCTGCTGCGATCATTATTCACCTAGCGTTAGACCAGAAAGCATGCAATTTAGTGGACGACTCTTTCAAAATAGGGGAAAAACATCAAGTGAGGAGATGGCTGACGCTAAACTCTGCAGTGGCTCCTATAAACTACTCCTAGGATCTCTAGCAAATAAATCTCTATGATCCTTTTTACCTTCATACTGAGATCAGTGTGGCAAGAGTAGGAGATATGAAGCTTACAAAATCCTCCTTCATATATGGAATGTCATTCTAAAGCTTCCTTTGCAACAACGGCTGTCTGCACATCTACAAACACATCACATTTATTGCTTACTTTAACATACAAGCACTCCTAATACTGGGTAACTTGATCAGTTCCAGTAATGCAAAACCAGTACAAGGGGGACTAATTGTTAGGAAGGTAACAATCCACAGTTAAGGTCAGATACAAGTACAATAATCACTAAAGCTTCTCCAGTCAATATATCTATACCTAAAACAAAGGACAACTTCATTGCTGAATTCGATATGAAATAAAGCTGAGAACCATCATTGGCCTCTTTGCTAGAAATACTTTTGAACCAACAACAAAACAAGCAACAAATGACTTTTTAGCGGAAAAACACACTTCTGAAAAAGGGAAGGAAATTTTCATCTCACCTGGATATTGTATCAGAGCCTGAACCCCACCATTCTTATCAAACATTGCAATCTTTAGCACAGGGCCGAAAGCCTGAACCCCATGCATTAAAACAGATAAATCAATGAATAACTCGGGATTAAGGTCACAACATACTGTCCACTCAGATCAGTATGTGCAGAATATGTTATTTTGAGGGAGCAAGGTCCCAGTTCTGGAATCAAATACCTAACACAGAACAGAATGACAATATAGGTCAATCACCGTGAATGGCTATTCTGTCTCACACTAAGTAGGACTGAGATTGAACAACTGATGATGGGTATAAAGACATAGCAGTATTTATTTTTTTTTGCTTTACAACACATCTTTGTGGGATGTAAGTTTCCATTCATCATTTTTTGAATAATGAATTTTTTGGTGTGAATATATAGTTACCCTTGTCTCAGAAAGGAAAAGAAAAGGAAGTGTTTCGGAATAGCTATCTAATAGCAAGTCTAAGAAAAAGTCTCTTCTGGACAAGCACCTTTAAACTGGGATCAGCAAATATTTCTTAAACTAGAAGTTGCAAAATCACCATTCGTGACTTGCGAATAGGTTCAGTAGCACATTTTAGCAGTAAACAGGCCACATTGCTTAATTACAACGAACCTGAGGAGCATTAAATGTGAATATATAATGAGATATGGAATGGTCAAGGAACATGCGTGTACCCCTTTGATAGATTCTTAGAAAAGTTCTTCAAAGATGTTATGTGCACAGTAAATGATCCATAATAGCTGGGCTACTCCCCAATCTGAAATATAAATCCACAATCACCTGGGAAGAATGCTTCTTCCATCAAGGGCATCCTTTGCAGAAGTGGCAGTTTCTGCATCAGAAAATTACACTAGAGCCTGAAAAGGTTCCAAGGGAGAGTGGTGGATTTATCAGCTGAATCAATGGTCAGTAACATTACAAAACCAAATCCAACTTCAGTAACATACTGACCTGGAATCCAGCAGTTTTCTCAAATGTCGTAATCTTATGGACAAATCCAAAAGCTGACAACACCTGGAAAAAAATTAGATTATAAGTAGAAAAAAACAATTGAAGGAAAAATCAAGATACAAATCTGAAAACATCTTAAATGTTATGATGCAAAGGATAGTTTGCACAAATGTTTAAGGTACAACTATTTGAAAAAGTTGCAACCCTTCGACACCTTTCATAAAAATCACATCTTTTGATATAGTTGCAACTCTTTATAAAAGTTATAATTTTTCATTAAAGTCGCAACTCTTCATGAAAGTCGTAACTCTTTAATGAACTTTTTATAAAAGTTACAATTTTTCATCAAAGGGGAAGACTAGTTTTGAAAATAAATAAGTTTAAAAGGAAATTCTGGTTTTTGGTGGCGCCACATAGGCGGGCGTAAGATTTTCTTTTATATATATATATATATGATATGATTTTATTTTTTTATAAATCATATTTAAAATACAAGATATTAAAATACATTAGGATGTCACATTTATAAATGACATATCTTCATGTTTCATAAATAAATATTCATGATGACATATTATTTCAAATTTTCAAATACACATAATTTTACAAAAGACTAACTAGTTCAATAAATTAACAATAACAGTAACTAACTATTGATAAAAATCCTTCCACATGGTACATACTATCTCTTCACGTTGATTATGAGTTTTTTTTTCATAATTTAAATTTATGAGTTTTTTTTAAACATTAATTTTTATATTTCAAAAAAAAACAAATTTAGAATTGCAAATCCTATTTTCTGAAATGTTTGTTTGAGACTATGATTTGAAGTTGAAATTGAGATAATTCATGCAGATTATATAACCAAAGGTTGATTTAAAAAATCAAGCTCCCAAATCTTGATTATAACCCAAAGTAAATTTGCACGGATCATCACCGACTCAATTATAATTCAGCTCATTTTGTTTATTCAATTTCAATTTAATCCGCCAATTAATTATAATTTTTTTTTTAAAAAAAACACTGTTTTAGCTGTACTCTATTTCCTTTTAACTTGTACTGCAGTCCCCTAACAACTTGTTTAGATGGTTGTACCTTTTGATTAATACGATATATTTGAATAAATTTTATCAATTCTCATTGTTAGATAAAAAGTTGGATACAAGGTAAAAGATTTATAAATAAATTAGAATAAACGATAAAATGAAATTGTTAAATAATTTCTTTTAAAAGATAAAATGATAAGAAAAATAAATAAACAACGAAGTCATCACACCAAATCAATTATAATGAACTTTTCGTCGTCACATAAAAATGAATTTAACAACACAATAATACAATAAAAACAAACATTAAAGTAAAACAGGCAACAACCATCCAAGCAAGACTACACAACAAACTTTTCTTCAACTTAAAGCGTTTGCACTAAATAAACTGTGTCTGATACTAGTAAAAATAGCCGTAGCAAATAGTTGCTAGGAATGCATGCTACTGTAGCTGATGAATTTGAACTGAGATCATATTAGCAATGGAAATTAGGTAGGGCTAAGTTGACGTTAGCTTTAGACTTCTGCAGGTTAGCTCCGATTTTGTCACAAGGTAAATGCATGTCCCCTAAAACAGTATGGCAAACCTGTTCCACTGATCCTAAGTTGCATAAAGTTCCCTAATACCTTATAAGAGTGTGAGAAGAGAAGTATGCTTTTCTTCCTGCTCCAAAAGCCAGAGAGATCCATGTAATAAGTTAAATTGGCGTCAACAACTGGGCTGCAAGGAGATGCATATTCAAAAACCATGTGTCATTATCGTAAAAAATTGTTCATTCATAGGACCAAATTGAGAGCCAAGAAATCATCCAGTCATCCACAGTTCAGCTATTCAACTTTTGCACGAACAATTTCAGGACTCTGAACCTCCTAAGTTCAGTTTAGAACTCAACTCATCAAAGGGCTCTGGTAAGACCTTAAACATATAGTCCGTCTGTAGAACTAGCTGACAATATACCAAGATAATGCCATTTTATAGTAGCAAGCATGTAAACTGGGAAATTCTTTGTGTATAGAAAGAACAAGCATTGCTATAATCATAAGTACTGAAGATATGTGCGTGCATGTTAGAAGGAGAAATGATCATTCTTTTTACAAGTAATTCAACAATTAAAAGACCTTAATAGAGTATAATCGATACAGAAAATGCATCTGATCTCGACCCTAGCTCATTTGACATTTGACAATTAGTTGATAACTTCATTCCCCTTAATAAGTAATTCTGTATCAAATGTTTTCTAAATAGTAACCAAAATGGAAGTTCTCTTACCAAATAGGAGTCAGCTGTGCAAGTAACCTAAAACAGCGGAAACAAGATGCAAAGAACCAGTGACTACTACAATTCCAGGTTGTTCTCCAGTTCTTTCATTGAGGATCTTAACACCAGCCCTTATACAAGCCAATAGTGATCCCTCCGCAAGTAAAATGCCTTGAGATTTCACTATCCCTGCAGCTTGAAGAGATTGATCCTCACTTTCTGCAACTTTGAGGTCAAGAACCTTCATATTCATCTCTCTGGAAGCATTGACCCAAGCACATTTCAATAAAGATGCTGAAGCCATTCTTGATTTAGCACCAGCGATGTCAACTTCTGTAGAAAATACAGCATCCAAATCCCCAACTTCCAAAAGAATGATTGTCTTAGTGGAGTCATTTATAATACAACAATCAAATATCAAAAAACATGTGAAATGCAAGTATAATGTTAGAGACAAACACTAATGTTAGAAAGCTGATGATTCACATTTCATTTAGAACTCACCTTGTTTGTATTAATAACTAAAAACATGTAAATGGCCAGAAGAGAGTGAACAACGTTACATATTTGGAAAAGTTTGCTACTTTTAGTACTCTCTAAGTCTCAATATGGAGTTATAACTCTACGTAAAACATAACAAAATCATCTGGAGTAGTCTTGCTTGGATGGTTGGTAACTATTTGAAGTTTATGTAGGACATAACAAAATCATCTTTGACAAACTTCTCTCATATATTCTTGTGTCTGCCACTTGAACCCTTTATCATACATCATCATTTCTAATACTGTTCAGTCTTTATGACCACACAATCATCTTTAGTATCCACATTTTAATGACATTCATTTTACGTATATTTAGGTTTAATCATTGTAAACATTCTTGCTGTCGCAGGACTCATTCATTTCATACATCCAAAATTTATTTACCCCATCCCTTTTTAGCACCTCCAATTATCATATCGTCATACCGAAATTTGGTGCATATGAGGTCTATGTGGCACATAACAAAACCATCTCAGGCAACCTACTCTTAAAATCCTCTAAGTGATTCATTTGAACCCTCTATCGGATGCTACCATTTCTAATCTTCTTCAGTCTTGACTCATCTTGAATGAAGGCAAATCTAACTTTTAACATCTGCATTCCATAAACATATATCTTGTGGATACATTAGGTTTGGAGACCCAACCATTCATAGCCATATGACATCCTTGTCTCGTGATAGTTTCAAGTATCTGTTTATCACATAACATTCTCGTAAGACTCCTCTGTTTAAGTCATTATTTTTAAACTCTATTTTTGGCATTCATCTATCATGCCATTCTACTTAAAGATGAAGTCCAGATGTCCATATTGTATTTATTGGCCATCACAATTCTGTCTAATCATGCTCCACCTTCATTCTTCTTATAGGGTTTAAACTTGCAGTATATCATGTCTTACTTCTATTGTCCTAAGACATTGCTCTCTAGTGTACTTCTCTATAGTTTCAAGTTTTCATTGAGCCTCCAAAGAGTAAAAGTTTTAGGACGAGTATTTAGTTGCTAAGTAACAGAAGCAAACACGCAAAGGGGGTCAAATTGACAACAAAACTATTCCACAATCTTTAGGTTACAGCTTAGCAATAATTGAAAAATTAATTGTGTAAATGATCTAAGAACTCATCAACTAAAAAAGTTTGGTCAAACCTGAAAGTAACTCGCTTGCAAAACCTAGATGATCCTTGTCATTCGCCATAGCAACCACAAGAACCATTTTTGCCTTCGGAAATGTCATCTGCAACGTTTTTGCCAAAGCCCTGGCAGATTCCTTCGTATGTGCTGAAAATGTTTATCGTTATCATACTATCCACTTACAAAAAGACTGACAATTACAACTCTTGAAAACAGATGTAAAACACTGTTTTATCCATGGCTATGTAAAACATACATAGACACATGCACTAACAATAAGAACATCAAGATTCAACCTCCATCAAGTAGTACAGTTGCTCCAGATACTCCAAGTAACTTAGCTTCTTCTGAAGACAATATTTGGGTTCTGCCTTGCAAAAATGCACTCTCCAGACCAGCACGAATAGCCCCACTGGACAAACTCCATCCTGGTATTTAGACACATTACAAGAATGAAGTTAAGAAAGAAAGTTGATGGCTGATCACATTATACAAGCAATGTATCAAAATAATTCAAGCAAGTACCTCACATTGTCAATGTAAACTTTGTAGTTAAAATAACTTATATCCATTATCAGAAGACATTACAATCTGCTTCTTAAGAAGCTTTAAGATTAACTCCACGTCTATCCTTATCCAAAACTACTAGCGTCAATCAGGAGAAATCATCCCAATCAGAAATTAACCCACAACTGAAAAGAGGAAATACCAAATTAATGGGTTCCATTTCACAGAGCAAACTGCCCAATGATTCATGCAATTTTAGTGTCCTGAACCCTGTAAAAGTATGTCAAATCTGTAGCGCATATCAACTACAAGGTTGAATACCTATCAAAAAGAATAATACAAGGCTATATAATCCCCATAATTCATTAGCTAATCCGTACTGTTAGACAAACATCGTAACTAAACTGGCAACAAAGCTGTATCTACTTTTCCTTGTGAGTAGGCACACAGATACAGGTTTCAGGAAGTGACATTAGAAAGCCAATCCATAGCATATACTAACTGAGCACCTAACCCAACTCCGTTAATGTTTCTAATGACAAGAAAACAAGGTTATACGATTTGAATTCCCATCATAGTCGAAGATTTATTAGCTTGCAAGAACTATTTTTGAAGTAAGAACAAAGAAAAATTTGAGTCCTTACCTTGCTTATTAAGGCATAATGCTGCACATGTAGCAGTTACAGCGTTCTGAAGTTGGTGAGCTCCAAGCATGCGTAACTTCACACCTAGAAGTTCAATAGACTGCACTATTTATGAAAAAGAAATTAATAGCTTGTTATGTACTAGAAATTGAACAAGTTTCAAAAAGTCCAATGTGTCATTTATGAACCATAAATGAAGATTAGTTTATACCAGATCATAGTCCTTCTCAATCTGGAGCACTATATCACATAATTGGCGTGGTATGCCACTCACTTCACAGAAGCCTCTCAAAGCACTTCGATTTCCAGGATCAGATGCTGATACCACTGGTGAAGACATAGAAGATGCTTTCCTACGAAGAATGCACTCAATAGATGGAACGAATGGACCTCCTATAACTAGCTGAAATATTGAATCATTTGAAGCAAGTCAATCTAATAGAAAATAAAATTATTAATAATCATTTTTAACATAACATGCTACACAGACAACATTAAGACGTTAATCATCTTTACTATCTCATCAAAGTTTGAGGTTAGAACTAGCAGACTAGTACAAAAATAGATACAACCAATGTAGGGCATGAGCTGTTTGCCCACTGTGTGAAATCACACATGTCTAGAAAACCCTAAACAGAAAACATCAGATCAAAACACAATTTCAAGAAGAAATATTCATCTTCGAATATATCCAACGGATAGGTGAAGGAAAGACCACCTAACTGGACGCCCATTTTTAACTATTCCTGATTTTGCCACCGCTATACTTTCCAAAGAGCCCCCAAGTGCATCCAGATGTTCCTCGCCAACAGTGGTTATGATTGATATAGCAAGATCAGAACCCGAAATAACATTAGTGGCATCTCGTGCTCCACCCAATCCAGCCTATATGGTAGGAAGAAAATACAAAATGTTAATGTGAGCACGAGTGGAAAGAAAATCTTGATTTTGGAGGAAAAGGAAAAGAAAAAGAAGAAGGGAGACCAAACACCTAATATAGTCTAAAAGATTATGTTTAAACACCAACTGCGGTGGAAAGAACAAATGAACTGGGGAAAAAAGAGTATAGCTATTGTAGAGAAAAGAGTCAAGTTAATGTGTTTAACCTCCACAACTGCAATTTCAGTATTTTCTTCAGCAAATAGGCTGAACGCAACAGCAGTAAAAACCTGACATTTTAAGAAAAAGAAGAAACAAATTAGACAAGACCATATACAGAAGCAGACCAAAAATGAGAACTAAAGAGTACTTTGGAGAAAGCACATTCTTGGAAGTATAGAAATCAAAGCCAGAAACGGAAACTGTTAAAGATAATTCCAGGGGAGGAAAGCATCAAGGAGTTTTCACTGATGAGTGATGATTCATCGCAAACCATCTTTCAATAAGTTATGCATTGCTAGCTAAAAGAAAGGAAAAGAACCTCAAAATGACTGAGATATCCATTCTCAAGTTTCACTGCCCTCTCAATAACCTCCCTCCTTGTGTTGAAATGATGATTCAATACCTTGGCTGATACTGGCTCACCCCATTTTCCCAAGGTTATGCGTTCCCTGATAGTCTGTATATGTGGACTGCTCATATGCAGGAAATCAACTAGTCATACAAACTACATCGATTGTACCAAAGCGCTCAGCTATAAATAAGTACTAACAACTTAAGTTGCTCAAACTCTCCAAAATTGTTGTCGCACCCCTGTAATATCCTCCAAAAATGCATACTTTTGGAGGACCCAATAAGTACCCGTCTACATTTTTGAAGAGTTCGAGCAACACAGCTTAAAAATGTTACTGATAAAACATCTTTAACAATACCTAGTATAGCAACCAACAGAATAACCTTCTGCCCGCAGTATACTTGAGAGAAATGCAGCTGTTGATCCTTTTCCTTTTGTTCCAGCAATATGAACAGTCTACAATAATTTCACTTTAGAACCAAGGAGTGAACTACAACAATGTGATGCAGAATTAGCCGGAAACTTAACAGAGACTACAATTGAACTGAATAAAATGGAGAAATGAAATCTGACCTTAAACCTAGATTGGGGATTACCCAGAAGTTCCATCAATCGTCTCATTCTTCCTAAATCAAAACCATCTTCGGAATCTGTTCCTGCGCCTTTGGGAACCCCTGCCTTCTCGAAGTTCTTGAGACTGTCCAAAAACTCCATCATTTCGTCTAATTCTGGATCCTCTCGTAAAGTGGAGAAGGCATGACGGGTATTGTGGACAAGTCCAGCAACTGAGCAGAGCATATTTCTCTGAATTGAACGAGTGAATCGACAGAGAATGCTAATATTTTTCATTTTTTGTTCTTCACACTACAGAGCAGAAACCATTGCTTCTTAATCGGCCATTTCTGTTCCTTTCATATATTGGAGCATGTCAATTTTGCTCATTCAAATATCACCCAACTAATAAATTTTGATTTAAATATAATACTATTTTATTTTTTTTAAAAATCGAGATTTTTACTGGTTTTAATTTATTTTTTTTGAAAAAAAAAACGAGTTAAGTTGGTTTTATTTTATTTTAAAAAAAAGATAAAAATAATTTTGAGATATTTTTAAAACCTTTCTTTTTCTTTTTTTGTTAAAGAGTGTCCTCCAAATGCATAAAAAAATAGTTTTCAATGAAAACGGTGTTTGTTTGCCATTCTTCAATTTAGACATATTCGTTATATAGGTTCCTTGTTATTTGAATGGTTTTCGTATCCTAATTTTCGATTCAGGATTTAAAGTTTTGGTTATGTTCTTGTCATTAAATTCATAGCTCATTTTAGTTATTAAAATATTTAGGATTCACGATTTAAAATTCATAAATAATGAATTTGTCATTGAAATCCATATCTCATTTCAGTTATTGATATGCATTTTATTTATATATTTAATGGATTTCCTAATACAAATACAAAATTTGAACAAGAGCACAACAACAAACATACCCCAGGTTAGGGAAGGGTGGGGAAACACAAACTAACCGTTATCTTTATGCATAGAAAAATTGTTTCATGTATCTAAAATTGTAACTCCATCGGAATGTGAACAAATTATAGTTTGTGGAAAATAAGAGGAGCACCATACTGAGGCTGAACAGTTACTGAGGGTTGAGGCAATTCAAAAGAGAAGGTTTGTAGGATCATAGACAAAGCCATCTTTGCTTCGAACATGGCAAAGTTTTGTCCAATGCATATTCTTGGACCCCAAGCAAATGGAAAATATGTAACTTGACCCTTTGTTGCACCTGATATTCCTTCTCTAAATCTCTCCGGATCGAACTTGTTTGCATCTTCACCCCATATCTCTTTATCATGATGCAATATGACCATTGGCAACGAAATTAGCACACCAGCTGGTAGAGATACTTCTCCTAGCGTAATCTCTTCAATAGCTAGTCGGGTAAGTGTTGTTACAGGGGAATATAGCCTTAATGACTCGTACAAGATCATCGTTACCTGTAACATACATGCTCCCGCCTCTATCAGTTATATCAAGCATGACACAGAAATTGAACCAAAAAACCTAGAATACTTACAACTTTCAGACGGTTTAATCCATTAAAATCTGGTTTCCGGCTTCCAAATACTTGCAAGACTTCTTCTCTGGCCCGTGCCTGCCAATCTTGATACCTGCTTAACAGCACCAGTGTCCATAGGAGCCACACTGATGTAGTTTCTTGCACCAGCAAAATAGAACAACTTGCATTCTTCAATGATTTCATCGATGCTCATTCCAAAGTCCTCCTTTCTGTCCTGCTGTTCAATTTCCTTGAAATTTGATTCCAGCAATATGCCTAATAGATCCTCATTATCGGCGTACCCAGCTTCCATTGCTTTCAATCTTTTATTAATAATACCTCTAATTAAGGACCAAACATCCTTGTTTATTTCCTTCACTCTTCTGCTCCTCTTTGTTGGCAAAAATCTTTACCAAAAATGCATTCACAATGATTAGAACTAATTCAATTAATGTAGTTTGTAATAGAAAACTACAGCTACATTTTCCGAATTCTTAGGAGAATTTAAGTTACCTCCCTCCTGGGATATAAACTGAGCGTATAGCTTCAATGAAATGCTGAGCTTGTTCGTTTTGAAGTTCAAATATCTTTCTACCTTCTTCATAACTACTGCCAAAAGCTGTCCGAGAGATCACATCACTAGTCAACTGCTGCAGGTGAGGCCATACATCTATCTCATGAGAGCCTTCAACTGGAACAATGTCTTCCCATTTGCTCAGCATCTCACTTCAGCTGGAAGCATATGCTGTTCGACAAAATGGTGAACGAGGATTAATGTCAATGACACTTACACTGGAACAGATTTAGGAATTGCCATCACCATCTAGTACAAGTTGCAGGTTAAATCAAAAGAAAGATACATGCTCATATAACAATTAAGGTGAAGCAAGGTCGGGAGTAAAAAGATCCATTTGTCCTCTCCGAATGCATAAAGTGCAACATGAACTAAATGTCCTGTACAAGCCAAGGAACTTACGCAAATATAGTCCTGACAAATAATGATCCAGACAAGATTCGACTTGTTTGAACCATAAAATGATTCTCCAGTTGTCTAACTCAAGCTAGGTAGCAGAATTCACTCAATATAGTCATATGTGGTATACATACAAGATCAAATTGAAAACATAAAGAACCAAAATCAAAGCGGAAAGAGATCTTTAACCAGAACATTAGCCAGATAAGCAAGAGCGAGCATATTATCAATTGGTGGAAGAACAATTGTATCATGATCCAGGCGATATCCGTCCCTATAGAACCACTACTATGCTCGTCTACTTCAAATCAGGTAGAAGATATTACTCGAAATAGTCATATGACATTAAATTTTAGATTATTACGATAAGGTAAATCAAAGGAGATAGAAGCAAGAGCAGACATTTTATCCATCGATAGGGCAAGAATTGTTCAACATTACAGTTTCTGGTTGACCAATCACAAAGTTGAATGACAGACCTTTAACTTCTCTAGATGGAACGCAGGATTGATGATTTTTCTATGTTTGGCCCATTTGTCTTTCTCATAGCTAACTAATCCTTGTACAAATAAGGTGCCTAATGGATTTCCACGAGGCTTTTGATACGAATAAGTTTTCGAGAGTACTTCCTTTATAAGCTCAGGGTCCATGATCAATACTTGTGGTCTTGGACCCATCCATGTAAAACATTTTTTCCCTGCAAAGCAAGCATATATATGTCTCATGATTAACTACAACTAGTACAAAATTCGATATGAAACATTTATACAACCGAAGAGAACAGAGTGATCTTCAGATAAAAAAAAACAATTCAGGAGAACAGGCTCATTACAATTTCATCGAATTCGAAGAAAGTTGAGACAAACTACATACACCAAGAGCTAAACTGCTTATTTGTTTTAGGAAGTTCATTAAATATGTACAAATATTTAACTGCGAACCTCGTAACTAAAGAGAACTATATGGGTTCAATTTCAAGTTCAAAAAACATAAACTTCAAATCCTATCTCCATTTGTGGAAATGAATGAGAGATTTGTGAATGGATAACAAATTACTGAATTTCTTCTACTACTTATATGAAAAACTAGTAGAATACATGTATTTGCTGTGTAAAAAAAATCCTTTTGGTGAAAAGATAACATATTTCTTGATGATTTCAACTAGGTGTCTCAAAAAGTGAACCCAAAAATAGATAATCCGCTCAAAATTTTAAGGATTGAGCTCAACATAATTTGAACTGAGTTCAATCTCAACCTATTCAAACATGAGCTATTTGAAGAGAATCCTCAATTGAACCCAATCCGCGTCAATTTCAATCCGTTTTAAAACTTTTTATTTAGATATGTTTCTATATTTAAGTTATAAATTATTATCTATTTAGCATATTTTAGGATTTATTTATCTATTTGTTACTTTTTTAAAAAAAAAATTCGAGCTAAAATTTAAATTGTTATTATAAAAGTTAAATATCAATATGTTCAATTAGTGAGATGCATCGGGTCAAATTGGGAGGGTCAAGACCCAATTCAACTTCTATCTCAATCCATTTTAATATTTTCAATTTCAACCCAACCATCTCATTTGACAACCCTAATTACAACAAAGAATGACACCGTTCTTGGTGCAACGTCATCAAGGTATACTATAAACAACCTTATACTGTATTTCTGCAAGAGACTATTTCCACAACTCTGTTCACATGACATCAACTTTACTAATTACTCAATAACTTATGAATTCATGTCCTATCAAATTCAAAATTTATAAACTTAAGTTATATGCACTATCACACAACAGAAAATATAGTAAAAATTTAAATCTACTTTAACAAGTTAATTAGTTGAAAACATACCATATTTGTTGATGGTTTGAAGAAAGAAAGACAGCATTCTTGGTGCTAAATCATGATCAGACATATTCTAGTAACATCTTTCATGTCCCCATATAATATTCTGTGTGAATTCCCTTTTAGTCCTTGTTTCCTCAACAAATTCTCCAACTTCTTTGGATTGAACCAAACCCAATTCAGTACTTTCCATAACAGACTAATCGCTATGGCACAACAACATATTGTTACTATCATTTGAATTGTCACCATTTTTCTGAGCAAAAAAATATTACTCTAGCTTCTTATATTATATACTTCGAAAAATCTATGAATCACTGAAATTTGACATTTTCGAATTTTGATATTTAAATAAGTTTATTTTTAATCGTAAATTTTTTTATATATCTTTTAAATATTTTAAATTATTAATTTATTGTGACTCATATTACTTTCTAGGTAGTTTATAAGTACATAAATTTTATTTTAAAAATTAAAAAAAATTTATATATAAATTTTGAATCAAACTTAAATTATTTGATTTTTGAAAAATGAAAAGTGTCAAAGGAAGTAAGTAATGAATATTATGTGGTTTTTAATCGTTTTAAAACTAAGTACTATCAATATATGTGGCTTTAAATCATTATCAACGAGGGGCAAAGGAAAATTATTGAAGTTATCTGTTTGAGTACGCAAGTGGGACAATTATAGCAGGAAATGATATACATGAATGGATGTGATTTTATTTTATTATATTATAAAGAAAAAATAGAAGAAACTAGAGTCTAGAAGCATCAATTAAAAACGATATTTTCCTTTTTGGAATTAAAAATTGCATTGAAAAGGTAACTTTCTCATTTTAAATATTAAAAAGAAACTTTCAATAATTTAAGTATTAAGAGATTGCTTCAAAATATCATTATAAAGAAATTACGCGAAAAATATATAAATCATATTCATATTAATATTTGATGTTTTACTCGAAACATATCAAGAATCACCAGATAATAAATATTAAATCCTTCTTATATTTAGTGCTCTCTCCTTCTCATTTTATATTTGTATTTGTATTAAAAATTATTTTATCTTTTTTTTTGGAACCTAAGTTTTCAATCAAGAATATAAATTAAGTTACATGATTAATTAATTTAATCAATGAACATGAATCGTTTATTAAGCTTTTTAAAATTGTTCAAATGTATATTTTTACGACTAATAACTCAAAACGATAAAAAATGAACATATGATAATTTATGTATTGATTTTATGAAATGACAAGTATCATGGACCATCTATTTATAAAAAGCGATGACATATAAAATGGGAGAAGGGAGTAGGACTGTTTAAAATCTAATCTAAACCAATAACCTGAAATGAAAAAACTTATTGGTTTACCGGTATTGGGTTATTAGTTTAATAAAAATGGTTTTGATTTTTTTGGTTATCCGATTATCCCTTCTTATCTGTTTGAGATTTTCTCTTAATAGGTTAACCAATAATCTGAAAGTAAATTAGATAGTTATATTTATACAATTTTGTATATGAAGTCCTTGACTTAGAGTTTGATTTCCTACTCTTATTTTTTATTGTCTTGAATACTTGGTTACTCTATAATGTAAAAGTGTTTGTTTTTTAGCAAGATATAACTTGTGACCTCATGTGCATGGTTTATCTGGTTTGTCGCCTTTTTCTAAGTGATTTTTTAATTTTTTTTCGTGTCAAATCATAACGGTTAAACTGATAACCGAACCGATAATGATAAAAAAAATCGATAAACCAATAACTAATAAGTCAATGTCTTAATGATTCTATAACGGTTTATCATATCTACAAATCGATACTCAATAAGCCAAATCGAACTAACAGATACGCAAAGCTAGGAGGAAGTATAACTCATCTAAACATAGAAAAATGAATATTTATTTCTGTCCAACAATACTTATCCACTATTGACTTTGATATTCGTTCAAGGATATATTTGTTGATGTTCGACGAATATCCCCTCAATAAATACATCAGTGCAAAACAATATATTTTAATGGCTCATTTAGCATTCCACAGAGTCCTTCATTTTATAAGTTGTTGGGTTTGAATGATGATGAGACAATGACTTTGTTTGATGATATATCTTTCAATATTAATTAATGTTCAAGATCCAAATCCCCACCACAACTATTTATAAGAATCTAGGATTAATTATTAGTAGAAGTGTTTGTACTTTGATTTCATATAAATTTTTAAGCATCACAGTAGTACTTTTTTATGTAATATTAATTAAAATACGAAAACATCATAATAAACACAAAATATATAGTACTTGTCTTCATTGCTTTTACCGTCGATCATTTCTCTTTCTTGAACCCCTTCTTTCCTTTCTCGATAGTTTCATAAATAGGACTTATTAAATAGATTTTTATCAAAAAAATTTCTATCGATGAGTCAATTTTCGATAAGACGTATGTGGAAAATTCATATTTTTAATAGTGAATTGACCAACATTATTGTCCTCCCTTTCATCCATTTACGTGTCAATTTGGTATGTGTACGTACAATATCCAAAATTTATTTTTGATTCATTTTGAACTTTTGGCCATTTTGCATTATTGAGCTCCACGTGTCTACCTACCAGCGAGTTAACTAAATAGAATGCATATATTACAGGGAAAAGATATGAATTCCCTTTTATATTTATACAGAAAAGTCAGTTAAATATTTAAATTATTATGACGATCCATTATATATTTTTATTATTTAAAATTGTATTTAATATCATCTTACAATATATAATATCACTTTCACATTATGTAGTGTATTACACTCGTTGTCACATCAATGATACATCAGCGACATGTCAGAAATTATAATTTTTTTATATCTTTTTTATTTTTATCTTATTGATTAATTTTTCTTTTGTTAGCTATATTTTACATTAATTAGTTTCTAATTAATTAGTAAAATTCTCTAATAATTATATCTTCTTCATTGTAAAATAGCAAAGAAAAAGTTTTGTACATTGGCCGTCAAGAAAATTTTCCGAAATTCGAAGCTAATTCATATGGTGAAAAAATTTCTTTCGTTCTAAAATGAACCTCGAGAAGACTCTTTTAGTTTCTTCCACTGATTGACCATGAAAATCGATATTCAATAGTAAATCTTTTTCAAATTCAAATACCATTTTTACTTTTTCTTTTTATGTTCTTCGTGGAGGTTTCTTAGAAGATATATAAGAATAATAAGAAAATAATTTCCTTTCAATCGATCATTCATCTAGTTTTCTAAAAAAATCTCACCATAGTTCCATGACTGAGAACCCCCAAACTTAAAGTTTACCTTCCGATGACATGAAGGTAAGTTTTTTAATCATTAGTCACAAATCTTTTCCATTAGTAAGTTTTTTAATCATTAGTCGCAAATCTTTTCCATTAGTTCTTACAACCGTAACAGTTTACCAAGTAAACCTCATGATGGACGTAGCAAAAAGGAAGATGAAATTGTGGAATGATTAAAGAAGCTGGACGGATGACACACTACCAGGTGAGCATTAATGAACCCCAAAACAGTTATACTGCCACCAAAAAATTGTAATATTTTTTATTAGATATAAAGTTTAATAAAGAAAAAAAAATATGTTTGGAGTTTATATTATACTTCAAGTATTGATGGATTTACAATTTTAAGTTTGTGGATTTTGAGCAAAGTACATTAATATATGCAACAATAATAGGTCAAAAAATGAGTACTGAAATTCTTTATATATATTTAAAAAGGAATTAACCACTAAAACATAATATATTAAAGGCATGATACGTGCCCTTTAATTTAGCTTCATGGACATAATATATAAACATCACTCTTAACTTGGCGTTAATTGACAACTATGATCTTTAACTTTAGATATGCACAAATATTCACTTAAAAATGTATAAAATTGAGCAAATTGACACGTCCTGCATGGCACCCTACATGACAATTTTGTAACTTACATGGCATTCTATGTGTATTATGTCATGTAGGACACCTGTATCTCTTGTTCAATTTTATACAAGTTTAAGTGTCTACTTATGCACATTCAAAATTGGAGTACATAGTTGCTCGTTGAAGCCAAGTTAAGGGTCATGTTTATATACTATAGCTATATTTGTGCCCTCCAATTTTGGGTCTAAACAAGTAGGCCCTCGCATAAAGTTGAGTAAGTAGACACATGAGTCTGATGTGACATAATACATGTAGGACATGAATTGCTAATGTAGGATGTCATATAAGGCGTCTACTTATTCAACTTTCTACAAATTTAAGTGTCGACTACATAGGTAAAGTTGGTGGACATAAATGTGAAATGAAACCAAATTAAAAAACGCATTTATGTATTAAGTCTATATTAAAGCAAATATTATCATAGTTATTGTTCTCAACCACTTATGGTTTCAATAAAATTAAGGTTGAACTCATCGACAACCCCTTAAAATTGACACTAATTTTCACTTAGACACCTCAAATAGGTTTTGTTCATTTTTAACATCTCAAGTAGGGTCCGCTATGTTATTTTGACACCTTTTGACAATCAGCTAAAATTGCAAAATGTGTGCAATACACTTGCGGATGACATGTCATGACTAATTAAAAACTGACATGTGACATTTGAATGTAAAAATAATAATTTCAAAATAAATTATTAAAAAGCAACTAATTTTCAGCAAAAATAAACAAATACTACCCCATCTTATATTACCCCACCCCTATGCCATTTGTCTTACTTCTCTTTTGCCTCCCCAACTCTACAATCATTTTCTTGATTTTTCTTCCAATTTCTCTTTTAAAAAATCATAAGATTTTAGTTTTCTTTTGTGTGTGTGAATTGATTGAAAATTATATATGACATTCCTCTAACTTTTTGAAAAAAAATATGCATTGTTCTAAAAAATCTTTTCAAAATTAGTGTGATAATTTTTAAAATTTTTCTTCTTATAAATGTTTTTAAAATTAGTGTGATAATTTTTTACTTTATTTTTCCATATTTTGTAAGATTTTTTATCATGAATTTTCATAGGAAGAGCTGAATAAGTGATAGGGCTAAAAAGTGAAGAAGAGCGAAGGATTTTTTTAAAAAAAATCCAAAAAAAACCTCTCATGCGCTCAAAATGGATGCAACACACACAATATGTCAAGTCAGAAAAAAGTGTCAAAATGACACAACAGAATTCAATATGAGGTGTCTAAAATGAATAAAGCCGTAAATGAAAATCGATGCCAACAAAACCTATTAGTTTTGATCCAAACTCCATATTTGTGTTTGAAGTTCGCTTATTATGTTCAAACTAGTACACTCTCTCCATGTCATTTTTTACTTGACCCTTGTAATCAAGATAGAATTTTATTTTTTACTCGTATATTTTATGGAAACACTAGTAATTCAGCTCCCAAAATTATGGTTGATTAAAGCATATGCTTGATTTAAGCAAAGAAGAAGGATATTCTGTAGGTAATTATACTTCAATTTCTTGTTCCAACCACATAAACTTAGTTAACAACGTCATTTAGTTAATATATAGTCAACCAAAATAATTCCATCAAATCACGATTGCAGTAAAATCCAATTATACATGGCTTCAGATAATCTTACAGTACTGAATGCACTTGACACAGCTCGAACCCAATGGTACCATGTCACTGCTGTTGTGATTGCTGGAATGGGATTTTTCACCGATGCATACGATCTCTTCTGCATCACCACTGTCTCTAAACTTTTAGGCCGTTTGTATTACTACGACCCGGCTACCCATGCCCCGGGCAAATTGCCTCATAGTGTTAACAACTGGGTGATCGGAGTTGCTCTTGTTGGTACTCTCACTGGTCAACTTGTGTTTGGATGGCTCGGGGATAAACTTGGTCGAAAGAAAGTTTATGGACTTACATTGATTCTGATGGTCATTTGTGCACTTTGCTCGGGGTTATCTTTTGGTTATAGTCGAAAAGTTGTAATAGGGACACTCTGTTTCTTCAGGTTCTGGCTTGGATTTGGCATTGGGGGAGATTATCCTCTTTCTGCTACCATCATGTCTGAGTACGCTAATAAGAGAACGCGTGGAGCGTTTATTGCTGCTGTTTTCGCTATGCAAGGGGTTGGGATCATATTTGCCGGCCTTGTTTCAATGATTGTATCTAAAGTTTTCCTTATGAATTTTGGGGGTAAAGCGTTTTCTACTGATGAAGTTTTCTCCACGGAGCCTGAGGCGGATTATGTCTGGCGGATCGTCTTGATGCTTGGAGCTCTTCCGGCTCTTCTTACCTATTATTGGCGAATGAAGATGCCTGAAACAGGGCGTTACACTGCCATTATTGAAGGAAATGCTAAACAGGCGGCCATTGATATGGGGAAGGTACTTGATATTGAAATTCAAGCGGAAGGAGAAAAATTAGCTAAATTTAAAGCAGCTAATGAGTACTCTTTACTCTCCAATGAGTTCTTCATGCGCCACGGACATCACTTAATTGGTACAATGACTACTTGGTTCTTGTTGGACATTGCTTTCTACAGCCAAAATCTCACACAGAAGGATATATTTCCGACCATGGGACTTGTTAGCAACGCAAAGAACATCTCTGCTTTGAGGGAAATGTTTGAGACATCGCGAGCTATGTTTGTGATTGCCTTGCTCGGTACATTCCCTGGCTACTGGTTCACAGTATTCTTCATCGAGAAAATGGGGAGGTTTAAGATACAATTAATGGGGTTCTTCATGATGTCTGTTTTCATGGCGATCATTGGAATCAAATATGATTACCTAAAGACTAAAGAACACAAATGGACATTTGCAGCTCTTTATGGTTTAACTTTCTTCTTTGCCAACTTTGGTCCCAATTCAACCACATTCGTGCTCCCCGCGGAGCTATTCCCTACCAGGGTGAGATCCACTTGCCACGCCCTGAGTGCTGCGTCTGGAAAGGCAGGGGCAATGGTTAGTGCATTTGGGGTGCAGGAATACACGCAAGACGGAAATGTTCACAAAATCAAGAAAGCCATGTTGTTTTTGGCATTCACAAATATGATTGGATTTTGCTGTACCTTCTTAGTGACGGAGACAAAAGGCAGGTCACTGGAGGAAATTTCAGGGGAGGATGAGAAGCAGAACGAGACGCAGATGAAGAGTAATAGGACTGACTCTGGCCGTCAAGACGATGGATGGGATTGAAACCAGGACATATAATATTGGCAAGTTTATCAAATTCAGCAGTACTATACATAGATGCATATATAGGATAAGTATATTGCTAATAAGTGAGATGTCACCTCCAGAATAAGGGCTTCATGAAGCAAGGAAATTCGTATAGTAGTTTACCTTCACCACTTCGCGTTGTAGTTGGCGGAGGATTAATTTTGTATTGTCTTATCTCCTGTCCTACTCCTTCCCAAAGTGTTTTATTTCCTTTTGCCTATCAAATGAAAAGTGATATATGGGTTAAAAAGTATTTACATTTTGTGAAAAAAATGGTTGGTCTTTTGTTCCATAATCACTTGACCTATAAAAAAGACTACATGTCTTATGCATGAATGAATTTACCTCCTATCGACTTAAAAATTTAAAAGACAATACAGAACCTTTAGATATTGGCTAATTTGATTTGGTAGTCATGGGACTAAAGCATAGGTAACAATATTTAGAAGTGGTTCCCAAGTTCCTGGTAACGAATTACACAGGCTAATGAAATAGCAAAGAAGAAATCTGCAGCAATAAAGAAGAGAAGGAAAAAGAATGAACGAGAAGAAAGGATAAGTGATAGAGAGAGAATAAGGAGGATTTTCTCAATGCTCCTTCGGAACGCATAGATCTAGCATAAACAAAATAGAGCCTGATTTCTGAGAATTTTGATATCAACCCTTACTATGGTGCTAACTTACATAAGTTGATTAAAAAAAAAGAAGGCATAAGAGCGATCCAGCAATATCGTGTGAGTGAAGAAGGGCTAGGACATGATAAAGTTAAAATATGTACTCTAAAAAACAATGGGACTAAACTTAAAAACAAATTGGAGCTTCATTGAAATCCAATCACCAACCTGAAACTCCATTTCTCATGTCCTGCTTTAATCTGCATAATACTTTATCATGTTTTGAGTTTATTGTTTCAAATTTTTGCAAATCAATGGTGTATTGATTTTTTTTCTTTGTACAAACGGTCATATCCTTATTTTCTTAGAAGCATATTTTATAAGAAGAATATATTTCAAAAGCTTCAGCCATCATTCATACCTACAAGAACAAAGTTGCAATTTCTGTGCTGAAAATCGGAATCACCATTACTTTTGTTTGGATTAAAACCATGCAGGCAAACAAATTCATTTGATTGATACCGATACAGATCAATGAATGGTTTAATGATGGTGTTCTAGATTTCTTTCCCAAGTATTAATAGAAAGAAATTGAGACTTCCATTTAACGACTATTTTCTTCTATTCAAATTGTAACAGAGCAAGAGATCTCATTTCCGCCTCTTTTACATTGTCATGATTCTATAGTGACATATTATGTTGATAACTTAGCCTAAAAGTGGTCCATTAACAACTATTGGCGCATTCTGCATCTCAAAATGATTGCCTAAGATGCAAAATCTATTGTAAAGCATAAGCATCACAATCACATTGTTGTTTCAATTTCTTGTGGCGGCGTTGAGTTGGAGGCATATTATTGATTTAAGCAAAGATGGAAGAAGGATATTCTTCAATGGTTTATCAGGGAATTTCTTGTTCTAGATACAGAAACTAGGCTTAAATGTCAATTAATTAATCACATAACTGTCTATATATACGTAAATTGAGCAATTTAGAGATGATCATACATCAACCAATCTCATCAAACACGAGAAAATCAAATAACATGGCCTCAGACAATCTTGTAGTGCTCAATGCACTTGACACAGCGCGTACCCAATGGTACCATGTCACTGCTGTTATCATTGCTGGAATGGGATTTTTCACTGATGCATATGATCTGTTCTGTATCACTACTATCTCAAAACTTTTAGGCCGTTTGTACTACTACGACCCAACTACGCATGCCCCTGGAAAATTGCCTCATGTCGCAAACAACTGGGTGATTGGAGTTGCTCTAGTTGGTACTCTATCTGGCCAGCTTGTTTTTGGTTGGCTCGGAGACAAACTTGGTCGAAAGAAAGTCTATGGACTTACGTTAATTCTCATGGTCCTTTGTGCACTTTGCTCGGGGTTGTCCCTTGGGTATAGCGCGAAAGGTGTAATAGGGACACTTTGTTTCTTCAGATTCTGGCTTGGATTTGGAATTGGAGGTGATTATCCTCTTTCTGCTACCATCATGTCTGAATACGCTAACAAGGCAACTCGTGGGGCGTTCATTGCTGCTGTTTTTGCTATGCAAGGAGTTGGGATCATTTTTGCAGGGCTGGTTTCGATGATCATTTCAAAATTGTTCTTGATGAGGTATGAAGGGGAGCCATTTAATGTGGATGAAATTTTGTCCACGGAGCCCCAGGCAGATTATGTTTGGCGGATCGTGTTGATGCTTGGAGCTCTTCCAGCTCTTCTTACCTATTATTGGCGAATGAAGATGCCTGAAACAGGGCGTTACACTGCGATTATTGAAGGAAATGCTAAACAAGCCGCGATTAACATGGGGAAGGTACTTGATATTGAAATTCAAGCAGAAAGTGATAAATTGGCTCAATTTAAAGCAGCTAATGAGTATTCTTTACTCTCCAATGAGTTTTTCCAACGCCACGGGCTTCATTTGATTGGTACAATGAGTACTTGGTTCTTGTTAGACATAGCTTTCTATAGCCAAAACCTCACACAAAAGGATATATTTCCAGTCATGGGACTCACTAGCAACGCTAACACAATATCCGCCTTGAGGGAGATGTTTGAGACATCGCGTGCCATGTTTGTGATTGCCTTGTTTGGTACTTTTCCTGGTTACTGGTTCACAGTATTCTTCATTGAAAAAATCGGAAGGTTTAGAATACAATTGATGGGGTTCTTCATGATGTCTGTTTTCATGGCGATCATTGGAGTCAAATACGATTACCTAAAGAGTAAAGAACACAAATGGACATTCGCTACTCTGTATGGTTTGACTTTCTTCTTTGCCAATTTTGGCCCCAATTCAACCACATTTGTGCTCCCCGCGGAGCTGTTCCCTACAAGGGTGAGATCCACTTGCCACGCGTTGAGCGCAGCTTCTGGTAAGGCAGGGGCAATGATCAGTGCATTTGGGATACAACAATACACACAAGATGGGAATGTTCATAAAATCAAGACAGCTATGATACTGTTGGCTGTTACAAATATGGCTGGATTTTGCTGCACGTTCTTGGTGACCGAGACAAAAGGGAGATCACTCGAAGAAATTACAGGGGAGGATGGCGGGCAGAATGAGACACAGATGAAGACTAGCAAACCTGTCTCTGGCCATCAAGACGACGGATGGGAATGATACAAGTTCAAAATTTCATTCTAATACATCACTACGCCTTGTGCTTTCTATCTTCAATTACCTCTATGAATAAGAGCTTTAACACTATGAATGACCTCAGTACAACAAGTTAAATTACACTAATAGTATCGTATAAAGCCTGCATAGACATTTTTATCTGTTCATGTTTACAATTTTAATTCAAACAAGGACAAATCCATCGTCAATTCAATCACTACTTATAATTACTATGATTGTATTTGTTGAAATATTGTTTTTGTTTTCTAAATCTGTAAGCAATTTGATGCTATGTGTAAACATTCAAAAGGACGCAGCAGTTGCCCAATCAAGTCAATGATTAGTCTTCATTTTCAAACCATATATAGAAAGATACAAGTTTGACCTTATCATGTCTTAATTGATACTGTGCTTACTAAATTTGGTGAAACTTTGACTTTTCTGCTGCTTGAAAAGTGTTTTTGCCTAATTTAATTTGGTACCTCATAACATCAGCTTCTTGTCATTTTCTGAATAATTCAATTCGAAATTTACACAAATTAAGCTTTAAGTTCAATAAATTTAAACTCTTCAATTTTACTTGTATATTTCATATCTGTCTTACAAATGTTATCCACCGTACTATTAAGAAAGCTACTTAGCGGATAAATAAAAATTTATCACACATAAATTTTGTCTCATTTGAATATCATAAAAAAAATTAAATAATTATTTCAAATATAGTATAAGAGTGAAAACTAAACATTTGTAGGCTAAATGGCAATTAGCACATACAATATACCGAGTTGCTTTTCGTGAATTTTTAGGGCCCTTTTATGCAAAAATTGGGATATGCACTTCAAACGAATGTCTGAATAAATGTGTGTATATATAAATTGATTGAGTAATCTATTTCTTTAGCCAACAAAAAACATTTCTAATTTGCATAGTCCAATAATTATTCACGAAAATTTCTACATAAATTGAATATATAGGTCGCTAGTATAGTTCCTTAGCTATGATTTTACTATCTGTTGTTATAACTTAGGATGAATCTTTTCGATGATCAAAATTCTTAAAATAAAAAGTATAATTCTCAATATTTTGCTCATATACAACTACAAAATACCACACATTGTAACGAGGAATAATACAAGGGCACAAGTTGTTATGCAATACCGTTAGATTAACCAACCAGGGTGAATATTGTTGCTGCAATTAAAAGTTGTGGGGGACCTAGAGTTACGTATGCAATCCCTTATTAAAAGTTAGCAAAACCAATGAGGCTTATAACTTTAATTTGAAGGTATCGTCCATTAAACCTCATATATATTAGGTATTAGAATAACAAATTCAGGATTTTTAGTTTAAAAATATAATTTTTGAATCATGTATAATGTATAAACATAGCTACTAAAAGATCTATTGAGCTCATAAGTACATGGGAATGAATCATGCACGTATAAGTGTAGTCATTTTAATTTTTTTTATCATTACTTATTATCTAAGAATTCAAATAAGTCAGACTACAGTAATTAGTTTCAAATACTGAGGGGATAAAAAGTACTTTCATTTTGGTTTAGTGTGATCTACAAGAAGTGGAGTCAGATTGTGTCACACGTACGTACATCATAGATGAAGCTCTTTCTTTTGTGTAAAGCCTGTAGGTTGAGCATCAGTCTTCACTTATACTCTTTCTAATGTAACTTGCGATCCGTTTGAATTGATTTAAAAATAATAAATTTCAAATAAAAAAATTAACTGAAATGATTTTTAAATTAAAAATAAAAGTAGGAGCAAATTTATTTTTTATGTTAAACTTATTTTAAATTTATTTTTAATCTCATACTTTCTAAGTTATTTTAAATATAATTTGTTAAACACTTTCAAAAATAAAAAATAAATTTAAAAATAAATTTGATCAATTTTTAAATCAATCAACGACTTACAATATTCTATCATTCTATCGTCCAATAAAACTTTAAACTTCTCTAGCCACCACATCACTAGTGGTCATCTTCCTAGGGAGGCTTGCCGGGAAATGTGTGC